CACTTGGTAAGTTTTTGCATTTTGCAGGAGTAATTTATCTAATTATGTGAGATTTTTCTAAGTTTAATTTCTTTTGTTAAATTTCAAGTTTTTGGTGTTCAAGTTCTGTTGAAATCTAGTTTAATGATGATATGATATACATTTGTGTTCTTGTTTTGTGGCAATTGTGAATTAAGTGTCTGTGTTTTTATTAGCTCACTGACATTTTTTTTGTCTGAAAGTCCTTACAGTAGAAGATGATCATCATGTTTCTTGTTTTCTGGCTTTGATTTTCAATCTTGTTGTTAAATGATCCTTCCCTTGGGAGCTGTATATTAGCTTTACATACTTTGAACTAAAAAGTAAAAGTGCAATGTGCAGCTCCAAATGTACCTTGTTTATTTATTTTATTTTTTTTAGTGGGTGTTTGAATTTGGTTACTACACAATTTGTGAGGTTAGTGCAATTGTGGATGAACAATTATGTATTCTTAAGTACAGTTAGAGTGCAAGTTTGTCCCTAAATCTCATGATGTTAAAGATCTAACTTTTAATTATTATTATTATTATTATTATTATTATTATTATTATAATTATTATTATTATTATTATTATTATTATTATTATTATTATTATTATTATTATTATTATTATTCCCTTTCTCTGTGCAGACAGAGTTTTCAGGAGTGATTGCTCCACTAGAGAAGTGTATGCAAAAGGAGCTAAGGACGTTGCGATTTCAATAGTCAATGGAATGATTGTGAGTAAAAGTTTTCGATCTTCCAATTTGAGTGAATTTAGCTTGTTTAATTTCTTTTTTTTTTCTTTCTTTCTTAGTTCTTTTCCAATGTTTAAATTTGATAACTCGTTTTCGCCAATCTATGAATATTCTCAAATGAGCAGTGGAAAGACATTCATGATGACTGGAATAACTGAGTTGGCAGTAGCTGACATATATGATTACATACAAAAGGTAAAATCAAAATCAAATGCTACTTTACACATTTTCCAGTGCTTATTATGCTAATTTGAGATATTTTCAGCACTCAGAAAGAGATTTTGTGTTGAAATTCTCAGTTATGGAGGTACACATTTAATCTGTTAGGGACCTCTTAAGTGTAGATACTACTCCACTAAGACTCCTTGATGATCTTGAGGTGAGTTCTTTTTTGCCGATATAATTCGATCAGATCAAACTTTTTTCCCCTTTTAATTTCCCTTTTTCTCTATAGAGAGGAACCATAGTTGAGAAGCTTACCGAGGAAATTTTGAAGGACTAGAATTATGTGATTCACCTTCTTTCCATATGTGAAGGTACTACAATACGGCTACACTTCAGTTGCATTTTGCATTGACGAATTTGGATTAATCTCGAGAAGAGCAAAAGTTTGGGTTGACATTATCGAGTGCATGGTTTTGATATTGTATCACCAGATTAGCATAAAACCATATAAAGAAATGTGGTGGATTTTATTAGAGAGAATTAATAAGTTGAACTCTGCATCTTGAAAAATATTGTATTTTTTTTCTATAATTTTTACAGCTCAAAGACAAATTGGAGAAACATCCCTTAATGAAATGAGCTCCAGATCCCACCAGATTATTAGATTGGTGTTGCTATTTCTTAAATTTCCATTTTTTTTTCTCTAATATACTCTATATCATCAAACATAAAATGCAATTATAAATGTGCTTTTATAAAATCTCTTTGGATACATTGAATCTTTGGAGTGTTAATGACCAAAATGTTGCTTGCAGACAATCAAAAGCTCTTATCGTGAGGTGAGAATGAGTAGAAATCGCTACAATATTCTATGTTAATTACTCAATGTTAATTTTTTTATTTATTCATTTGATTTTTTTCCTTGCTTATCCATTAGCTTTGGTACTTTCAAGAGACTTTGAGAAAAGTTGAAGAGATTTTCTGTTAATACTAGATCACTGAGGAGCAACTAGCTGCATTATTCAGTGGCTATGACTATGGACTGGTAAGTTATTACCGTGTCTTTCATGAATATATGGTGTAATGTCTATAACTTAATTTCTCTGGGCTTGCGGCTGAAAAAGGAAATAAAATGAATTCTTGTCATTTTCTTTCTTAGGTTGGCATTAATATGCTTATTTGTTGCTGCATCATACCATATCTTATGTGATTATGTCAACAGACTAGAGCTGTCCTTAATCTTCAATTTTGTTTGACTTTTGGTAGACTGGCATTATTTTATACGTGAGTTTATTGTCTTTGCAATTTGCAATGCTATAATCATTTCAGCAAAGGTAATTTTTTCTCTCTTAATTGTCCATAAACTTTTTACACAGAATGCGGTAGTTCATTTGTTTCTTTTTTCGAATCGAACAACATTGTATTTTCCTACAAATATGAGAGGGTAAAATCGTTACATCCTTCAATTTTGCGAATCCAACGACATTTATTTATATGGCATTTGTTTAAATGGTTTACATGACTCAAAAATCGTTTTTGAGATGTTTCTACCATTTCTTAGATCCCATAAACCATTTTAGGGATTCAAGAATCATTTCAAAGATATTTCAATGATTCCTGGAATGAGAAATGATTTTTGGGATCCCAGAAATTTCTTGGACCAGAAACGATTTTTGGATCCCAGAAATAATTTTTGGTTCCAGAAACGATTTTAGATGTTGGAAGATTGTGGTATTGTTTTCTTTTGTCATTGTTGGATGTTTTTGTAGAAGCATCTGGTTTGTTGGAGGATTTGTTGTTTTAGTTCTGTTTTCTTAGTTTTTGTTTAGGTGGCTTTGTATGTAAGGATGCTTTTGCATAGTGTGGCCAATATTGTTATTTTTTTTTTTTTTTGGCCTCTTTTAGTTGTTGGTTTTGGGTTTGAATATCCCTTGGTGATGATGTAAACTCAGTGTGGATGTACCCTTGAACTTTGTATATTGGTTGTTTCAATTTAATGGCACTTCTATTTAATGTATCGGATAAAAACATATAGTATTTGGTACTTGTTTGGAAATATTGTTTCAGCTCAACAATTCATTTGTTAATGTTAATTTTTGTTGCCCTTTTTGGTTGGCACGTAAGCCTGCATGTACGATGTGTATATAATGTAATCACCACATTCGTCTCATATAACTTCACTTGATCGCAACATCCTTCATGCTCACTAAGTTCAAAAATTGGTTGGTGGCAGAGTAGAAAATTCACTTATTCCACAATCTTTGGCTTGCAACGTAACATATGTAGTAGGTACTTTGGAAAAATTCGGTCAAATTGTGCAAGTCAGATTCACAAGAAATTCTCCATCGTCCAACTCTCCATTTTCATTGGTCATCAAGAAGTGAAATCGATAGTCACACGTGTTTATCTCCACAAACAATGTCATGAACTCTATTTAAAAAGTCTCTATACGACAAACTCCCCAAATGCATAAAGTTCTTCTATATGCATGTCCATTTTTATACATTCTCATCTCAAAATCCGCTATGCTCAATTCAAACTTTTTCACACGATATCTGTAAAACAAAGATGCAAAAATATTTTACTGCAAACAATTCCCAAGAATTATTTGAGAATTAAGTAGTCAATGTTTATAATAAAACAAATAAAATTTGAACCAGAAATGATTTTTGGAATCACAAAAATGGTTTATACGATTAGAAAACCGTTTTTGGGATCCCATAAACCGTGTTCGGGATTCAAAACATATTTCTGGGACTAGAAATGACGTTTCTTGTACCAAGAAACGAATGATTTCTACGTTCCTGGCCCCAAAAATCGCTTTCTGGGTCCATATCGATTTCCGGACTTAGAAATCGATTTTTGGAACCACAAATGATTTCTACGTTTCTGGTCGTCCAGAAATTAATTTCTAGGTCCGGAAATCATTTTTTGGATTTCTACGTTTCTGGGACCAAAAATCGATTTCTGGACTCAGAAATCGATTTCTGGCACCAGAAATCCCCTAGTAATCGGTTTTTGGACATTTCTGGACCCAGAAATCACCGGGTCCAGCCAGAATTAGATTTCTGGGTATAGAAATTGATTTCTGGGTCCCAAAATGGCTTTCTGGACCCCGAAATCTATTTTTAATTTCTGGTCCAGAAATTGATTACTGTGATTTCTGGTCCCATAAATATATTTCTGGGTCAGAAATCGATTTCTGGACCAAAAATCCCTTTCTGGTCCACAAACGAGATGTCCAGAAATTGATTTCTGGACTCAGAAATGATTTCTGTACCCAAAAATTGATTTCTGGCCCAGAAATCGTTTATGGGTCCAGAAATTGATTTCTAGATAATCTCGTTTCTGGTCCCCGAAATCGATTTCTCGACCATTTCTAGGAGCATAAATTGATACTTGGTCCAAAAATCATTTAATGTTCCAAGAAATCAATTTCTGCAATTTTTTTGCAATATTATTTTATTTTTGAATAATATATATGTGACCCATTGGAAAAAAGATAAATTAGAAACATTTTTTTACACTAATATTTCCGAGATATCACTGTAATTTCACCGAAATGTTGCCGGACTTTTGAAAATATAAAGAGAATGATTTTTCTTTTTTTTGTTGAGAAGAGTGAATGAAATTTATGAATGGAGAGAGAAGTGAATGAAATTGGAAATGAATGAAGAAAGAAGAGAGATGAGAGAAGAGAGATGATTTTTTCTAAAAAAAAAAAAAAAATTGATAGTAAGGGCTAAAAAATGTTTTTGTCAAAAAATGACAAAATGACTAAAATGACTAAAAAAATGTTTTTGTCAAAACATGGCTAAAATTTGTGTTTCATAAATCTAAATGGCTATAAAATAAATTCACTGTTATTATAATGTGAGCCCAATAATATAAAATATACCAGATTATTACATTAATTAGTGATTTCTCCATGCATATACACTTAAACACGCCAGATATTGATCCTTGACACCAATAATAACATTCACAAAATATTAATAAGTTTTTTTTTTTTCTTTTTTGCATAAACACATATTTAACAATCTCATTCGAAAATACAAATTTCGAATTAATTACCCGAACTAGTATCTAGGGAGGCCACCGAGTCCACCTCTGGCTGCAAATCCAGTCATGAAGACCACATAAGAATCCTTAAAACCAACCCTCTTCACCTTCTTTGAGAAGCTGCTATGCTTCGCCATCGGCCCGTTTTCGGTCTCGGGCTCCTCGTGGATGGTCTCCAGCTTCATCTTTAGTATTTCCTCAATCTCCATTCTTGACTCTCTTCTCAACCTGCTTTTGCTCTTGCAAGGCACCACCCAGTACCACATTTTGCTTGAACTTGATTTTTTTCTCATTTTTGCACAAATTTAAGATTAAATTATCAAAATTTATATATATAAATTTGCCTATGCCCCTTAAGGGTCAATGGGTTTTCTTTGAAGAAAAAATATTGTATAAAGGCTTATGCTTTAGTTCTTTACAACTTGACTTCATCATGACAAGCTTTTGTGTTAGTTTAACATTTCCTTTATGAATAAAAAAAACTAGTATTAGTACACATGTACAACATGAGTGTTGTGTGTAAAGTTATTTATGTCTAATAACAAACCTAATTTTAAAGCAAAAATAACATAAAAACAACATCACGAAGCATAGATTTTCGCCATGTCAGCATCCGAAGCGTGAGAATCTGCCACCTAGGCTCAATACGTTTTGAATTAATATATAGGGAGGGATTATTGTTCAACCATACTTTGGATTAGACTAAGCAACCTACATTTGCCTGGATATGATTAGCTCATAGAAAGACTACTTTTAAATGGTAGGTGAACCAATATATATGATATATATTCCTAATTTAGAATACTTGAACTCAATAATTTTCTCCACACCCCAAGTGGATTAATGATGGGAAATACAATGAAGGATTAAGGCAAAGAAAACTTCAGAACAATCTTCAAATGCTGTTCAATCTGATTCGTCTAGTTTACTCTAAAATAACTTCATTAGTAAAATAAAAATAAATTAAAAAAAATTGGATACATATGCGTGCTTCTGTGAGTGTAAATATCACTATTGACTATAGTAAAAGTTTTACTTAAATACATTTCATTTTATTGAAAGCCCTAATTTCTCTCCTCTCTCTCTCTCTCTCTCATCTCACCCGCCGTCGCCTCTTACCGGATTTTGTTCGCCTTCCTCAGTAGCAATCGAAACGAGCCGCGGTCGGCTCTCGACCGCCTGAATCCCGCCTCGTTTCGCGCTTCTCTTTCTGCTGCTATGGAGTCCGCCTTCAACCTGCTCTGGATGGACTTCGCCTTTTCCGGCGCGTCTGTTCGTGAGGCCAGGTTAGCGGTCTTGCCGGAGAGTTGGACATTTGAAGGGGGATATGATTCTGTGGGTGGGACGTGGCTCGCTCTTTGGCGGCGTTTGGTTGCGGAAGGGCAGAGCTACGCCGCTGTTTCTGTCTTCACCTCCCTGTGCTCTGGTGTTGGGTCAGGGAGGGCAGGTGCTCCCCTTCTCCGGTCAGTGGTGTTGGTCGGCGCGGTGCAATGGTGGTGTAGAGGGTTCACTGCAGCGTTCAGGCGGTTTTGGGAGTCGGGTCAGGGGCCTCGGCATTTTCTTGTTTCTTTCCCTTGTTTCATGCGCTAAGTTTTGGGGGTGAGCCGGTGCCGCCGCCCCTCTACTGGTGTTAGAGGGTTTGGTTCAGTAGCGGCTCGGGGACAAGTTGGGTGTTGGGGCCGTGGTGTGAGTGGACGTTGGATGATGTCTTGAGGCT